AAAAAATAAAATGAAAGGCAGCAGAAGAAGAATAAATCTTATATCTGCCCCTTTTTTCTCAGAATATATTCAAACAAAAGTAATTTACAAAAAAAAAAAACAAAGCTAAATAAAAACAACATCAAACCAAACAACAATTTGTAGATACACATTATACTTTTCCTTCAGAAAACTAACTTTTAACATTTTCTTGAATATGTACATAGATCTGTCAGTTTTAACATCATCCTTCAGAACATTCCACAATCCTGTTCCCTGAATCATAATGGACCGCTCCTTCAAACTGGTACGAAACCAACACTTCACAAACATCTATCCCCTTGAGATTCATTCATTTAACCTTTATTTCTACAGGTAAATCCCATTGAGCCTCAAGGACTCATTTACAAGAGAGACCTGATTTCAACAAAGAAAGATGACAACAATGGACAACAGCAACAACAATAAACAGTTATAAAAAAGCATACTCCTGTTTTTTTTATTTGTTTTTTTTACAAATACGATGGCTAAAAAAAAGAAAAGGTAACAAAAAACAGCTGGATTCTAAGGCGAGTGTAGAAAACTAAAAACAGGAACATGTCTGCATTGGTCCCTGCCAGGAGTCCAACAGATTCTTAAAGACACTTAGAGAGGTCAAAGGTCGAGAGCTTCAGATCTTTTTGTAAGATATTCCAGGAAACAGGAGCGGAGAAGGAGAAGGTCCTTTATAAGATAAGATAATAACCACTCTCCCTTTTGACACAATTTACTTGAATATTTGAAGGTAGTATGTTTTTGTGAGCCTTATACATAAACAGTAAACTATTATAATCAACCAAGTTATATAATTTTAACATCTTCAGTTGATAAAACAATGTATTTGATGGATGGCTATAATATGTTCTAGTGATAATTCTTACAGCTCTTTTCTGTAAAATAAAAATAGGATTTGTAATGGTTTTACATGCTTTACCCCAGACTTTAATACAGTAAATTAAGTGTGGGACAATTATTGTTGCATTATTCAACATAAAGAGTGCTTCATCATTGAGTAACTCCCTCACTCTGTACAGTACTTCACTGGCTCCCTGTTCCTACGAGGATAGTCTTTAAAATTCTTCTGTTGACCTTCAAATGCCTAAATGACCTTGCACCCCTTTACTTCTCTGAGCTACTGGAACCTTACGTTCCCTCTCGGGCCCTGAGATCATCTGATCAGCTGCTTTGGTTGTTCCAAAAACAAGAAGCTCAGAGGAGATCGGGCTTTTTCAGTCATGAGCCCCAAACTGTGGAACAACCTGCCCCCCAACATCAGGCAGGCCCCCTCCCTTCAACCTGCCCCCCAACATCAGGCAGGCCCCCTCCCTTCAACCTGCCCCCCAACATCAGGCAGACCCCCTCCCTTCAACCTGCCCCCCAACATCAGGCAGACCCCCTCCCTGCCTCACTTCAAATCTCTGCTAAAAACACATCTGTTTATTTCACACAGTGTGAGTTGATCTAGTGTTTTTTTTCATCTGTGACCCTTTGTTTTAAATGCTTTTTATTAATTCTTCAGTTATTATTATTAGTGTATTGAATATTTTTTTCTTCCCTTTAATTTTACTCATTGATTGTTGTTGTTGTTGTTAAGCACTTTGACAACAGGTTCTGTTTTAAATGTGCTCTATAAATAAAGTTGACTTGACTTGAGTACTGCAATAAATTTAGCTGTTTTTGTTGCATGTATAAAAATAACGCGCAGAGAGGCGGGTCGACCGTCTTCACTGCTCTTCTCATAAGATTTCTCAGTAAAACGAGTCACATGATCTGTCACGATTGTAACTTTCATTTTCATCGACAGCTCCTGGTAATAAATAAATAAATACATATAAAACCTAAAATAAGCAACACATAAACCTGGTCTTGTGTGGGGGTTTTCTTACAGTTTCGTTTTTTTTTTTTTTGGTGATTTTTTTTAAATAAAACTTGTCATGTTCACTTTAGCCCGACAAATATCAGTCAGCCACCAAGACATCGAGTGTATTTATAGTTTTTAATACCAAGAAATCTGTCAGAAGAGCTGTGAAGATGGACGCCTCTGTGCATCCTCTCCATAAAGGGGAACAGAATTTCGCAAGACACCGGTTCTTTCTGCACTTCGGCTGCGCGTGCATCCGCCGTGTCGATAGACTAATAATCCGTCTATAGCCTACCCGGCCAAGTTCAGCACGTTACACAGCACGGTTTTCTCTTTGCTGGATTTGAATATCCTCGTCTGTCCGGCCCCAACCTCTTCACCTCCAGTTTTCCCTCAGTAGACATAGAAAAGGGGTTATTGATTAAATAATCCATCTCGTTTATGCTAATATTGCTCGTCATCACGTCAGTCTACACCAAGCCACGCCCACATCCACTCACGCTGAGGCACGTTATTGTACGTCCACCCTCATTGGATGAATCCTGCGGCTGTGGGCGGACCCTGGGCTGAACAAAATGAGCCTCAATGAGCCGCAAACTGAGGGGGCGTGGCCAGACGTCTGTCAATCATTCTGAACCATGAAGGAAAAGTAACAGAACGGGGCTG